GAGCAGGGAGCCCGATGCGGGGCTCGATCCCAGGACCCTGGAATCATGACCTGAGCCGAAGGCAGACGCTTAACGACTGAGCCACCCAGGCGCCCCGCACGTATATGTTTTTACATATGTAGGAAGTGCATATTCCTGTATTATAATAAAAAGAGCAAACATTTATGGAGTGTTTATTAAGTACCAGGTATAGGCCGGAGCACTTTATTGTGCTATTAATTTAATCCTTACCAGAACCCTTTGAGATGAGGTCTATCGTATTGCCACTGTTACTTTGCAGATGGGAAAACTGAGGCAGAGAGGAATTAGGTAACATGCACAAATTCACATGGTGGTGAGTTGTGGAATTGGGGTTAGAATCCAGACAATCTGGTTTAAGAGCCTGTGTCTTGTAAACATCATCCCACATTGCTTCTCACTGTGTATGTGTGCATGTGTGTGAAGGATGCCCCTTTGTGGGCATGTGTGTATGTGTGCCTGTATGAGTGTTGGTGTGTTCCTGATGTGGGCTGAAGTGTATGTGTATTTGTACATGTATGCTGGGCTTTTCTGTGGTCATGTAGGTGAAAATGCGTGATATTTCAGGGAGCGGGGGTGGCTCTTCCTGCAAGGGCAAGCAGTCAGGGCAGACTTGGAGCAGAAGGGTCAGCAGAGGGCTTAGGAATTGGCTTTGCCACACTTGTCAGAACATCTAGGCAGAGAGGGGAGCAGAACAGTGATCCAACTCCCCCGATGAGACTTGTCTGCCCTCAATCAACAGGTGGATGCCCCTTGGATGAAGCACTTCATTCTCACCCATGACCCAGAGAAAGGCATCTACCAGTCCCCATACATCATCCCAGGGTAAGAATCTGACATCTTAGGGCAGAAGAAGGGGCACCTTCATGCCCTCTCTATGCTGCCCACCCCAGGCCCCTTGCTTAGTCGCTGCAGGTTTTTTCTTCCAATGTTTTCTAAGTGAGGTTGAGCCAGTAAATCCCTGGAAAGGCAGGACTCAACCTTAACTGGGTTCCATCTTGAACAAGTTTTTGGACGACCGTAGTGGTGATGCTGGAGACAAGGGTAGTGGGTGTGAGGTCAATGACACTGGAAGGTGTGAACAGAAATAACCGGAGTGTGGTGGGAATGGGGATCTGGGTTGATGGTGATAACGATATTAATGGGAGAGGTGATGATGTTCGTGAAGATGGTGGTCATTTTGATGGGATGACAATGTCTTGAGAGTGGAATGGTGATAGTGGAGATAATACTGCCATTGTTGGGAAAGTTCACAGGGGTGGTGATTAGGACAAGGATGGTAGAGTGCTGACATTAATGGGGGTGGCGTGGTGTTGAGGAGGAGGTTGATGGTGATGGCAATGATTGGGAGTGGAGGCAGTATCTGGTGCTGATGGAGATGACGCTATCGATGATGTTAATAGTATGGTGGAGATGACAATCTCAAAGGCAGTGTTATTCATGTTGATTGCAACATTAATGTTAAGTGGGGCTGTGCTATCTTCATGGTGATGTTAGTGGTGTGACAGAGATGACATTATCAATGGCAACGCGAATGCTGGTGGTGGAAATGGCAGATGGGGCTGATGGTGATGACATATTCATGATAGCAAAGAAGGCAGTTGTGAAGATGATGTTGTTGACGTAAATGATATGTTTTCGTTTCATTGAGATGTAATTGACAAATGGTGCACATTTACAATGTACGTGACAATTTGATATATACATATATCGCGATATGATCACCACAATAAGGTTAGCTAACACATCCATCATGTCACATAATTACGATTTCCCTGTGTGTAGTGAGAACATTTAAGATTTACTCTCTTAGCGATTTTCAAGTATACAATACAGTATTGCTAACTACAGTCACCATGCTGTGCACTGGAAGAGATGACGATGTCGACAGTGACATTAATAGTGACAGTGGAGATGGTGGTGGGTGGTAATGACAGTGGCAATTGCGATGGTGTTGATGGTGGTGTAGCAAGGAGGACCATGTGAACGGTTATGGGGATTTAGGTAGAGACGGTTGGAAGGGTGAGCATGGCGATGGCTCCCGTTTGTCTCAAAGGCTTCATTTCCCTTTGTCATTGACTCTCCTCACTTTTACCTAGGATCCAGGCAGTGACTCTGGGAGGCATCTTTCAGCTGGGGAACTGGAGTGAGGTAAACAACATCCAGGACCACAACACCATCTGGGAAGGCTGCTGCAGACTGGAGCCCACCCTGAAGGTAAGGTGGGGAGGAGTATTGGTACCCTAGACCAGGGTCTTGGCAGCTTGATCATGAGGCCCCTTGATGATGGGAAGACACTGCCACTGGGATAATTGGGTGAATTTATTCCAGCAAGGGACTGTGAAATACACCAGAATTTGATAACGCATGAGGAAGTCCTACTGTGAGCGGGTGACACCTATCTGTCCATGGCTAAGAGTTGCTGTCTTTTGAGATGCCAACCCTAAAAACACCTTAGTCTGTCTGCACAAGGAGCAGACACATTTGTCGTAGAAATCTCAGTGTTTCTCCTTTGTTTGTTTGTTTTTTCATTTGCCTGTTGGTGGCGATGACAGTGGTGATGTTGATGGTGATGAATATGCTCAGGATGGTGATAATGAGGGTGAGGAGGCATGACTGTTGACGTCATGGTGGTGGCTGGTAGTGGTGGTTGATGGAAATGGGGTCATCGATAGAACTGGTAGTGATGTGGTAAGAATGACAATAATGATGTTGGCAGCTGATAAAGGTAGTGATGATAGTGGTGGTTAATGAAAGTGATGGTGTTGGTGGTGATAATGAGACTCCAAAGCTAACTCTGTCACCTAAAAATGGCAGCTGCAAAAAAAAAAAATCTGGAGATGAATTATTAGCACTCTTTTTTTCCAGGATGCAAAAATTATTGCTGAATTGACTGGCCTCCGGCCAGTACGCCCCCAGATTCGGCTAGAAAGAGAACAGCTTCGCTTTGGATCTTTAAACACAGAGGTATGCTCTCCTGGCAAGGAACGCAAAGTCCCCCCCTACCCCTAATAGGCTCTGGCATTTCCAGTCTTGCCTGACATCTGGCTTCACACAGCCGACTGGCAGGCCAGGACAACGCTGGCTAACATCCCTTCCCCTGTAAAGAAACTGAGGCTCAGGGATGTTGTAAAGGACCTGCTCAAGGTTACGGAGAGGGCGGTGCCCCTCAGTTTGTCAAAGCCTGTGGTCGGGCAGAAGGAAAACAGGTTACTGAGACATGAAAGACCTCCCTGAATCTCCCCTCCAGCTCTTTGTGATAGGTTCTGCTTCCCCCATGCTTCAGATGAGGATCCTGGGGATCTAAGACATGAAATCATTTGCCTCAGTCAGGCAACTGGTGAGGAACATGGCTGGGATGTGGTTTGAATTTGCAGATGTCTATTCTGTGGCCGTTCCATCAGTTCTCTGGGGTCCCTCTTTCATGTTCCCTCTTCTGGGGTAGGAGCGGGGCTTCTTGAGACGGTGGAAGATGTCCTGGCTGAAGGAACTGACCTGACTAGGTGGTAGAGTCCCCACAGGAAAGCCATCCTCCTCATGTAGGTCATCCTTCCTCCCTTATGCCGGGCATGTGGGGTGTGTGTGTGTGTGTGTGTGTGTGTGTAGGACAGTTTTGTGTATAGGGGATGTATGTGTATATGTGCTTGCATGCACGTGTACACACATACAGAGGAAAGAGTCACATATGGAGTCAAACTCCCTGCTGATGGTTTTAGCTTTAAAAAAGGCCCCAGGGGTCTTGCCTCTGTCCCTAGGACAAATTAGCATGCTAACCAGAGTCCCCCCATACGGTGCCCTGGCTTTTCTTTCCTCCCGAGGTGGGTAGAAGAGTCTCTCTATTAACACAAGAGGTTTGGCATTCTGGAGCAGGATGGGAACAAGAAAGGTGATTTAGGGAACTTCAAACAATTTGATTGGGGGAGGGGAATCCCTGGCCTCAAGTTCTAGATGATTCTACTTTTTCTGTGCTGAGTGCAGAAAGCAGGTCCATTTCCTAAGCAAAAGAGAGTCTAGGGTGTTGACCTCCAGCTCCCCAAACAATCACCTTACTGGTGTTCCTGGGACTCCACCATCCTGCCAGGGAGCTGAGAGGCCCTCTGGTTCCCTCTGGCTTTGCCCAGAACTTTTCAGGGAGCTCCTGATTCTTCCAGGGCACTCCTGGCTACCTTCTCTCTTGCCTCTCCCAGGTCATCCACAACTATGGCCATGGAGGCTACGGGCTCACCATCCACTGGGGCTGTGCCTTGGAGGCAGCCAAGCTCTTGGGGAAAATCCTAGAAGAAAGGGAGTTGCTCAGGATGCCGCCACCCCACCTCTGAAAACACCACCTCCCCAAGGACTCCCTGCTCCCCTCAGCCAACCAATCAATGCACCCCCCTCTAAGCTGTCACTCACTCTCCACTTCCACCCTGGCTCTTTTCTGCAAGAAGCACAAGATGAGAGGGAATCCATAAGGTCCATTCCTGGAGGCAAGTCTGGCCCTACCTGGGGCTCCCTTTGATCACTGGGGTCTCTTTACCCACTCTGGGCCTGACAGAATGAAGAACAGCTGGGGGCTGACTTATTTTAAGTCCTCAGAAGAAAGGAAAGCTCAGAAAATCAAAGGGGCAAGCAGAAAATTGAGGATAATTGAGGTTAGGTAACTTGAGGACAAATTACATTAACATATTAAAGGTTCTGAAAAGTCCTGCAGCAAAGACATCTATTTGATGTTCTCTCATCCAGTCCTAAACTTATTTGGCTATGGAAACCTTTTTGCCCAGAGCACTGACGCCACAGAGTACACTTGAGGGAAGGCTGTGATAGATCTTGTTGCAGGAAGTCACATGCAGAGCTGGACTGTGGGGAGGCCGAACAGGTAAGGCATTGAACTAACAACATGATACCCGTTCCACATCCAGGATTCCCAACAGCATCAGCAACCTGCTAAATGGCCCCATGAGCACCAGGTAACCTCTGAGGAGGGGTCGCCAGAGGAATCATCCCACAAGGAACCCCTTCATAGAGAACTGAACTCACCAAGCATAATCCTTGTTGGGGCAAACTTAATGTCTCTCTTCTTTTCTGGCTGGTACCCTCTGAGATGAAATGGACTTCTAGATGTTTTTGAAAGCCTTAAATGAACCTAGAGGGCACCTTAGCATCTTTATCCCTAATTATCTGCATCAGGCTCTGAGGTGGATTTTGCATCTGTCTGGGTTTTTGAGAAAGACCAGAGCCTGGAGGAAGCCTTCATGCATCTGGGACCCGTGGCACCCTAAGTGCTGTGACGAGGTCTTGACCGGCCCACGCCATGCCATCTACATCCACGCCATCACTCTCTGCTCCTTCCCATTCTGTGGCACCTGGTGGGGTCTTCATGAAGCATCTGCCATGATTTTGGCTGACACTGAGCTAAGTAGAGTGAGGGAGCCAAGATCTAAGTTAGAGTTCCTATCCTAATCATAAGAATAAGAATAAATTATTAATTATTATTATTATACCTAAAATTCATTGCATTCTAACTGGGCATCGGTGCTCAACTCTTGCATGCATTACTCATGTAATGTGTAATCACACACACCTGCACCCACGAAGTAGATCTTATTCCCATTTCATAGGTGAGCAAGGTACAGGGAGGGAGTTCTAGTCAACAGCTGGGAGGGGGTAGAAAGGAGATCCAGGGCCAGGCATTGGGTGATTCCAGCACCTCACTTTCAACCAGTGCACAACATCGAATCCCAGGCTGGGGGTGGGGTGGGGTGGGTTGGGAATTCAGCTATGGAGAAAGCTGTTGAGCATCTTCCTCAACTATCTCTGCAGACACTTTAGAAGGAACTAGCTCTCTCCTCCTCATAGCCTCATTGGGTCAAGACTAGGGACTCGCACGAGATTGGGTGGGGGTATCTCCCTGTGCCTGGAGTGGAACACAGCATTCAGTTTCTGACCAAAGTGATGACTTTACCCAACCTAAAATTCCCCAGGGAGAGCGACCCCTACCTGTTAAGGTTAGGTTGTCAGCAGGAACCCGATAGAACTTAGAACACAATGAACTCAGAAAAATATACGGGGCCAGGAAGTCCACATTCACACCCTTCCTGTTCTTTTTGTAAATGGGAAGAACCTCTTTGCAATGTGGTTTCCTCTCAATTCTGCCTAAAATTCAGAGTAGAAGGAGCACGGGGAAAATTCCACAACCCACACGGCACTGGAGGAGGTTTAGCAATGCTTGATTTCTTCACTTTCCCTTCGCCTAACATTCCTGCTCCCTCCCTGAAGATGATCTGTAACCAATTTTTCAATGAATTCTTGGCAGCTTGATGAATTTAGATAGTATTATCTTTCCTCATTGAATTGTCTTGGCACTTTTGTCAAAAATCAATTGACCATAAATATATGGGTGTATTTTTTGGAATTTCAATTCTATTCCATTGACCTATGTCTATCCTTATGCTAGTACCACACTATCTGGATTACTGTAGCTTTGTAAAAAGTTTTACAATTAGGAAGTGTGAGTCTTCCATGTTTATTCTTCTTTTACAAGTGGACTTTTTTTTTTTTTAACTCTTCTGGGTCCTGTGTAGCTCCATATGAATTATAGATCAATTTGGGGGGGTATTGATTGACACCTTAACAATTTTAAGTCTTCTGATCCATGAACATGGACTATTTCTCCATTTATTTAGGTCTTCAATTTCTTTAAGCTATGTTTCACAGTTTGTAAAAGGCTTGCCCTCCTTTTGTTAAATTTATTCTTTTTTTTAAAATGTTTTATTTATTTATTCATGAGAGTCAGAGAGAGAGAGAGAGAGAGAGGCAGAGGCAGAGGGAGAAGCAGGCTCCCCGCCCAGCAGGGAGCCCGATGCGGGACTCGATTCCAGGACCCTGGGATCATGACCTGAGCCGAAGGCAGATGCTTAACCATCTGAGCCACCCAGGCGCCCCTTGTTAAATTTATTCTTAAGTGTTTTACTCTTTCTGATGGTATTGTGAGTGGAATTGTTTTCTTACTGATGAATTTAGAAAGTGTTCTGTTCTCTGGCATGGTGGGGGTAGGAGGATTTGAAGTGGTTCATCATTGAGTATTCTTGATTAATTATGAATGCTTATCTGTGACATGTCTGTATGTTTAACTGTCAAAGAAGCAGAATATGGCAAAGTGACTAAAGTCTGACTGAAACCACTGAATCTTTGAAGAGTGAGAAGGGGCTTCTGGATTGGCATTCTGTATGCCTCCCACAACACTCTGCATCCCTCCAATAGGGCTCACATCACACTGTATCACAGTGATCTGTTTAGGCCTGTTCCCCCCACTACATCGTGAGTGCATGAAGATAAGGACCATGTCTTATTCTTTTTTTTGGATCCTCAGTATTGAGTATCATGCCTGATAGATACATGGTAGATACTCCATGCACACTGACCACATGCCATGACGTGCTCCATAATAGAGTTATAATGAACAGACTCAAGAGTTGATATACATGTTGCTGTGGGTTCCAGAAAGGGCAGGCCAAAGCCACCTCTCTGACCCAACTTAATTGGACCAGGACTGGAACCAACATTCATCTGGTCCCATCAGCTTCCTCTCTTGCAAATTTGGAAGTGGTGCACTGAACAGCTGAGTCAGATATGTTTGCAGAGCTGAGTCAGGGTGAACGGAAACCATATGCTTGATTAGGCATATGCAGCAGCCACAAGGAGGCAGAAAGAAGCCAGTCTATAGAGAAGGGTGGAAACAGGCCACAGCTCCTGAGAGGGGGCTGCCTTGGGCTCCGGTGGTTCCTTGGGTCTGGTTCTGTTTGTGAAGCCAGGCTGCACTTTATTTCTGAGATTTTTCTAATCTCTCAGAGGTGCCAACTGGCAGCCCATCAGTGAAACCTGGCCTGCAGTTGGATTGTATGGGCTCACACATCACTTAAAAGTTTTTGATCCAACATACTAAAATTTGGAAAGTTCATGTAACAAGCCAGATTCCCATCTTGAAAATTGAGAGCTCCCACCATGCAACAAAATCAGGTAGGGTTGAGCAATAGCTGCCCCCTTTGGAGAGGTCTATGCTTCTCACTCTACCACAATTCTTCCCTCTTCCTGTTGTTCCTTACACCTCTGTTCCACTCACTTATGCTCCCTGGCTGTCCCCTGGAGGAAATTAACTACCGATCCCAGCCTTATAATAAAGTGGTACTTCTTCATTTGAATTAACCCGAGTCTAATTTCTGTTCCTTGTAATTAAAACAGCCTTGATGAGAGCTCTGTGGCAGGGCTCCTCTTGACCATCCCCCATCACCATTCTTCTTTCTTCATGCTAACAGAATCCCAATTTTGTGTTCAAGAAGCTGTGGGCATCCCTTGATCCTGTGGGAATGAGGCCCTTCCTTCTCCAGCTCTGGGGGAAGACTCATGCTTTTAGATTCAGATCTTTTAGCAAGGAAACTTTTTGTGACTGTTCCTTCCCCATTCTACCTCCTTTGGAAAAATCTGATATCCAGTACCTTGGTAGCCATCTTGGGGTCATGAGGTTTCATGCATAGGGTTAAATGGCCAACATGCAGAGGAAAGTGGAGAAGAAAAACAAAAAGAAACTGGGTTTTTGATAACATTGTTGAGCTGCTGAGCCTTCCTTAGAACGGCCTGATCCTGGGCTTGTTGTTAAATGAGGAATTAATGTTCAAATGGGTAAGCCATTATTGACTGGTTTTACTGTTGCTTGCAGCTCACTGCTATCCTAGACTAGTTTACTAGTAGTAACCAAGGGAGACTCTTGATCTCACCCTTCAAGACTCTCTGTTACTTAACATTTGCCCAAAATAATGAATATCCATATTCATTTCAAAGTCCATCCCTAAGATACTTTTACGTTATTGCCAACACATCTCACTTCTGTATTCTAAGAATACTCGGAATAAGGGAAAGAAAGAAACCACATAGCCTTAGCTACGTTGACTGTCTTTTACCATTTTCTGACATCTTTCCTAACACTGAGAGAAACGGATGACATTTCCATTAATGGAAACAGGAGCTTTTGGAAAGTTCGAAATTAGATATAAATGTCTTCTGCTAAAGGCCTTGTATATTCCAGAGCTTGGACAGCTTTGGTGGCAGCTCTTGCATCATTCAATAATACTGGTTTTTTTTCTAAGGGTAGGCAATTTAGAAGGAAAAGACTTTTAAACTTTCATTTTCTCAAGAAGAGAAAGCCCTCAACTGTAAGCCTCTTTACCCCAGGGTCTGGAAAAGATTCCTTCCCACCAAGCATTACTATCCCACCCCAGCCCCCAGTTTTTCCAGGTTATTTGAGGGTGAAGGGAGTGGACATACTAGTCTGCAGTGTCTGACTAGCTGTAAGGCTAAAGGAAAAGAAAAGAAAGAAAAGGAAAGGAAAGGAAAGGAAAGAGGAAAGGAAAGGGAAGGGAAGGAAAGGAAAGGAAAGGAAAGGGAAGGAAAGAAAAGGAAAGGAAAGGGAAGGGAAAAGAAGGAAGGAAGGAAGGAAAGAAGAAAGAAAGAAAGAAAGAAAGAAAGAAAGAAAGAAAGAAAGAAAGAAAGAAAGAAAAAAGAAAGAAAGACAAGCTAAGGTTCTGTGTGACCCAGAAGAGCTCAGCAGACCAGAAAGAATTAGAACCATAGCCACCCATGGCTCAAGGAAATGTGGGTGTCGGGGAGAGGTAGATCTGCCAAGCTGCTTCCTCTCTGGCTGCCTGGGCTGAGGGGACTACAGTCTGTATTTCAGGAACATGGGACTGTTTGACATTAGCCCAGGACCTGAGCCTACAGTAGTCATCCACTGTGACCTCCACGCCATTGGAAGAAAGTGTTGTCTCTGACAGACTCAAAGTCATGACATTGGCAGCCAATGGTGCAACCTGTCCACCTTATTGGAGAGAGTATCACATTAAAGCATCGAGATTACCCTGGATGGACGAAGTTGGCAAGATTCTTAAGTTGAACTGTCACTGGGACATCATGACACATGGAAAGACTTCAATCCTTACAATGTCCACCACCAACATGTTTTAATAAGAGATGAACGTACACATTTGGCTTCCTCAAAATGTTTACTTCAAGCAGGCATCTCCACGCAGAAGGTCAGTCTTCTCTGGCCTTTGATGGGATCCAGCAGCCTCCCCTCTCCTCCGCTAGGTTCCCTGCCTTCATGATGGGGAAAGGGCTCATGGAAACCAAGTCCTGGAGGTGGATGTTGTCGGCTGAGACAATGGCATCAGCCCTTCCAATCGAGGCCAACCCCAAACCTAACAGACTGCCCTCTCTCCCTTTGCAAATGTACACACGTCACACATCTGGGCCCTCCCGTTCCTCCCCAACAGTGGCAGAGAACTATTGCTGGAACCCCAGGAGCTGCCTCTATGTAAACACCAAGCCAGCCCTTGACAGCAGGGGTAAGCAAGAAACCAAGGGGGGAAGGATTCCTGGTTCCCTGACCCTGATGGGAGTGGGTGGTTGGTGCAGCATCTTTTCAGTTTCTCTGCCCACGTAGACAGTTACCCACCCTCAACACCCAGAGCACTGAAACCTGAGTTAACTGTTTTTCTTTCTTTAAGAGTCACCAACCAACCTGACCGACAAGGGGGTCAGAAAAGAAGCCCCTGGTGCAGCCTTCATTGCTTCTGAAGGGGAAGCCCCCCTACTTTGGCTTTGGGCTTTATCCTCACCTCCTCTGGCCTCTGTCCCCAATTCCTGGGGGAGAGGGAGGACGACAGCTTTCTGAGGTGGTCATCTGGTAGAAGTCCAACTGTCCCCACGGACACGTGAATCCGCTGGAGCCAGAGAGAGCGACTCCAGAGGGGACCAGGAGGGGACACATGGCTCAAGTTCAAATGCATGTCCATCTGCCAGAGTCTCTACTAGTCCGGCCCTGGGGAGGCAGACCAAGGGGCCCCTTCTGAGAGAGCATCTCTCAGACCCAGGAACAAGCTGTTCAGGCCACAGCCGGGTCACCTGCAATTTCAAAGAAGAAAACCTGGGGCCAGGGGTGGAGGAGAAATCTCTGAAACAGGTCCTGTTGGTGGACGGCAGGTGTTGAGTCCCTGGGTAGCCGGTCTACACCGGGCTATGGGCCTGGACTGTATCTACAGAGATGTGTAGGTGGTTGTTCACCAAGGGTGTGACTGGCTGACTCTGGGTGGCGACTGGCTGACTCTGGGTGGCGTCTGGTTGGCTACCAGTGACACTGGCCACTCCCAATGTGGCAGTTTTCCCATGCAGGTCCACAGGTTATTAACAAGCCTCCCCCACACATCCAGAGGACCCCCCGAGCAAATGCCTCCCCACCCCCAGGTGGATCTCGATGAATATGAGCAAACGGAGTCAAGACACAAAACCCTGTTGGTCCAGGTTGTCCTTCTGGGTGAGTTCTTGACGTCGGCAGTGACGGTCGGTGCCCCAGCCGGGCTCCACTAGCTCCCCGCGTTCGACAGCCTCAAAGGCCAGCTCAGCCCCGCATCGGTCCCTACTCCTGAGAGCCAGAGTTCGACCTGGTGACGCCTGCGCCATGCGTCCCTCGGCCGACCATCTCCTGGCCCCACTCCCGGTGGCTGGACTCCTGTAGTCCGCGGCCTTTGGTCTCGATGGGCAAGAAGCAGGAGGCCAGGGCAGCCAGGAGGCAGCAGCCGCTGTACACGGCCAGCGTCAGGTACACGGAAGATTCCAGCATGACCTGGGGGAGGGAGACACGGGGCCGTGAGCGCGTCTCTTCTGAAACACGGGCACCACCGACCATTCAGGAAGTATTGCTAAAACCAGGCCCTCTTGGAAGCCCTCTGTGGGATTATCCCATTCAGTCCCCACGACTAAGAGCAAGGGAATTGTCCCCATTTTAAAGAAGGAAAAACTGAGCCTCAGAGAGGGTTAAGTAGCATACTCCAGCTCACACAGATACTAAGGATGGGGCTGGGGTTTGAGCTCAGACCCCATTAGGGTCAAGTGTCTGTATTCCTTGGAACTACACTCTCTCTCAGAGCAGTACCTCTGCTGACTTTCTCGCTTAACAGCAGAGCTAAACCCCATTTTCTCATCTGCCAAATAGGTAGGGGCATCATCTGCCTCCCAAGGACAGGATCCTCAAGAGGACTTGGCACCATGCGGGCACATGGCCAGCCCTCCACAGGAGGTAGCGGTGACATACAATGGCCAAACAGAACAGCCCAGAACAGAGATGCTTGGCTGAAACATGGGGCGGGATTCTGTTTATGTGAAATATCCAGAATTTGTAAACTCATACAGACAGGTTGCACAGGGGGCGCCCGCCTGGCTCAGTCGGTAGAGCATGGGACTCTTGATCTCAGGGTTGTGAGTTGGAGCCCCACGTTGGGTGTAGAACTTACTTTAAAAAAAAAATGCACATTGGTGGCGGGCAAGGGGGGGGAGAGGAGAAATGGGGAGTGGCTGCCTAATGGACATGGAGTTTTATTTGATGAAAACGTTTGGGAACTAGACAGCGTTGGCGTTGGCACAACGCTGTGAATGTGCTAAATGCCACTGAATTGTTCACTTTAACGTGGTTAATGTTATGTTACGTGACTTTTACCTTGGTAAAAAAAAGGGGGGGATAAAGACAGAAAAAAAAAAGAATTGGATATCAAAGAAGCAAAACGACTTCAAAATAAGATCGCTGGAAATGGATAGAAATGCTCTAAGACCCATAAGAGGCTGCAAAATTCTGCAAATACACCTAATCATCCAACTCAGAAACCAGGGCCCGAGACATCTGTTTCCCACTAAATCGTGTTGCTTTCAACAGTTTGTTCTCAACTTACTTGTTTTCATCCAATTAGTTTTTGGCCAAATCATATGGCACCCCCAGGGTCTTCTGCATAAGAAAGACTCGGGTTTGAGTCCTAGCTTCTCTGCTTCCCAGCTGTGTGACCTTGGACAAGTCCCTTTACCTTTCTGAGCCTGTTTTCTCATTTGCAAGCAATACGACTCCTTTCATAGGATGGGTTGTTAGGGTAAAATAAGATAATGCACACCACCGAGGGCTCTGCAGAAGGCTCAACATGGAGTAGCTGCTCGCCATGCTTTGGCTTTTGTCATGCCCACCCCCTCCGTATTTGGGGGCGATACCCACCTGAGCAATGAACGGGGTAATGAGAGCACCCACTCTTGCCATGCCGCTGCAGGTGCCCAGGCCCAGGGCTCGAGTTGCTGTGGGGTAGACCTGAAACACAGCCATCAATGTGGGCTTGAGGAAATGCAGGATCCTCCCTCTTCTCTAGCTCAGGAGTGATGGGACTGACCCCCACGGGCAGGTCTGAAGTTAGCGTGAGTCACTCAGCTGTTGGTGACCACATCAAGGGGTGGGAGACCAGGTGAGGAGTCTCATCTCAGAGGGGGTAGGAAGTTCAACTGAGAAAGAAGGCAAGAGGCCAAGCTGTGGGTGGGAACCCAGTAAGGGGGTCTTCCCTGCCCGGGGTGGTCCCCCAAATACTCCACCAGGAACTGGTACACATTTAGGATCCAGACCCTGTTCCACCTGCCACTTTTCACTCATTCACTTGAAGCACTGGTCATAGCTCTTCAAAGCATTTCATAAAGACAGAGGTGGAAATGTTTACACGGTTTCTCAGTTGGTACCCAGGAGTGGCTCCCGTGCCTAGCTCTCCCTAGGGCAAAGCGAGAAGTCATGTGCATCTTCCAGGCCAAGGCAATTAAGAAGTAGGCATGTCTTCTCCACTCCCTTCCCCAGTCCACTGGCTGGAAGGAGGACTCCGAGGACTCCAAGGCCCTGGGGCAGGATTTCTCAACCTTGGCACTATGGACATTTGGGGATGGGTCCTTCCTCGTGGTGGGGGGCTGTCCTGTGCATTGTAGGATGTTCAGCAGCACCTTCTGCACTACTCTCCCTGAGTTGTGACAACCCAAAATATCCACAGGCATTGAAAATGTCCCCGGGGCGGCGGCGGGGGGTGGGGGGAGCGGTGCTGGCAAAATCACCCTTGGTTAACAATTACTGGATGAGGAATTTGCAAGATGCAAGGAGCTTGGGTCCCCGAATCACTGTAGAAGTGAAAGCACACCCATTTGGACTGTTTCATTAGTGAGAAACTTCTGTTGTGTCGATACATTCCATTTGGGGAGTTATTTGTATAGCAGTTAACACACCACTAACAACTACAATGCTCAGCGCAGAAGCTCGAGAAGAATAAAGAACATACAGGGAAAAGCAAAGCTCATGCCTGATCCTAACACTCAGAGATAACCATTGTCACATTTCCATGTATATCCTTCCAGATCTTTCTATGACTGTATATACATCTGCATTCATTCATTTATGTATTCACTCAACATATACTTTGAGTGCATACCATATGCATTTACATATATTTTAATTCACCCAATGACACAAGCAATATATAAATATATTCTCCTTATCAGAAATTAAAATACCTGAACTCCCTTTGATCCACAACCTCTCCCAGGAAATATTCCCCAGAGGTCCCCACTGTTACGAAGTTTGGAATGTATCCACCCAGAGGCGTTAAAAATATGTGTAAACAAAATATATAGCATTGTTTTAAAAATATAAATGGTGTCATATCATACTGACCAGTCTGAAACTTGCTTTATCCATTCAGCACTATGTCTTAAAATCCTATGGATATATAGACATCTATTTCATTCTTTTTAACTGCTGTAATTGTATTCCACAATGGATATTCCACAGTTTACAATTTAATACAGATTGGTAGACATTGTATTAAAAGAGGGGCACAGACACTGACCAGCAAAAGGAAGTCAGGGGAGGGGAAGATCTGGGAGGGCTTCTTGGAGGAGGCAGGATTGGTGTTAGGCCTGAGGTGGGGTGGAGGGAGCTGGGTTCAAGATGATGACTCAGAGTGAGGACTCTGGAGTGCTGTGGGAAGGAGGGCTAATCTAGACACCCTCCTTCCCCTGGCACAGCATCTGGTACATAATATTCTCCTCCTCCCTTTGCTCCAATCTAAAATAAAATGAAATAAAATACAATAGGTCTAAAATAAATAACCCATAATCCCTGAGTGTGGGAAATTGGACATGCTCGGGTGCCGTTGTGTGGAGTGTAAATTCGTGCCACATTTTAGGGGGTGAGCTCTCAAGTCCACTCAATATTTGTAATGTTTATAGGCTTTAACTCAGCAATTCCACATCTTGACATTTATTCTATGGGACTCACACACATGTACATGACTGTATAAAGCTGTTTACCTCGGCATCGTTTGTAATAGTGAAAACTTGGAAAACAATCCAAATTTGTCCTAGTAGGAGAATTGTTATAAAATTATGATTTGCCCACACTATACTATATAGTATAGTAAAATATATAATATATATACATATATATATACCATATAGTATAATACAGTATACAATATAAAGTATATACACTGCATAGTGAAGTATAGTATATAATATACATAGTATATATAGTATAGAGTATAATAAAATAGAGTATATAATATACAGTTGTATACTATATAGTAAAGGGATAGCATATAATATATATAGTATATATATACTATATGGTATAGTATATAATAGGTAGTATATATTAGCATATTATATATAGGATACACTATATATAGTATATACTTTATACTATATAGTACAGTAGAGTAGAGCAAGTATGGAAAAGAACAAAGTAGATCCATATGTCCTGTGCTCATTGTCTTCAATCTTTGTCTCCAGAATTCCCCACCTCATTCTCTCCCCTGAGACTCTGGAACACTCCCCTCTCCTCACCCCACTGGCCTCGGGTGGCAGCAGCGTCCCCAGCCACCTCCACCCCATTGCAAGCTCTGGGGCACTTTATTGCTTTCATGTTTCCCTAAGCCTTGTCCCACACCATTGTAATTAGTTTCTTTATTAAAACTCTTCCCAGTTGCTCACTTCCCCAGTTTGGTACATGCACTAACATAAATTAGTATGTGCCTAGAAAAAAACTGAATTATTAAAAAAAAGGTGGTATCTAGGAAGGGGGAACATGGGGCCCTTTAATTTTTGGTTTTATGCAGTTCGATACCATTTGCAACTTTTACATTGAACATCAGCTTTCATAAGCAGAAAAAAAATGATCGAAAGATAGCCTGCAATAATGAAGAGTCTCACAGTCACTACTCAGACAGACCCACGGACAAATCCCATTCTGAGGATCCCAGGCTGGGTGTTTCTGGAGGCAGAGCTCCCTCCCTCCCTTTCCCCGCTGCTCACAGACCGCCCCCCCGCCTACCTCAGGTGTGTAAACATAGGCTGCCTGGAAGCCTCCAGAAATAAATGCTCTTGCAATGAAGAGTAACAGAGTGAGCATGTTTCTAGGGAGAGAAATAAAAAAGAAGATGAGCAGGTTTTTGTTGGTTTTTTTTTTTTCTGTCAGCTTGTTTCAGCAAAGTCCTATCTACCCAGGCAGAATTTATACCCTAGAAATTGGCTCAGCCCACCCCCACCCAACATATCCACACAGGCACACAATCCTGTTGCCTTCTCTAAAGGCCTGCCTTTATAAGTTTATCATTCTCCAAAGTTCCAGGCTAAGAGCTGCAAACATCTGTGGTGCCCAGGTTGAGGGCAAGGTCAGAGAGAAGTGATATAAATCATTGAAAACCCAGACGAGGCCTGGTAGAGTCAGGAGCCAGCTGAGCCAGTGAAAGTAAACTTCTATGCAGTATTTTTAAGGTAATCCTGGTCCCCGACACTCTGTTCCATTGTTCCCCAAAATGCCTAAGAACACCAACATGTCAGGGTCTTAGCTACCTCTCCAGGCCTTCCACATATTCCTCACCAGCTTTGGTCTGGGGCCTCTCCGAGGTCAAGAGAGGCATAAGCCTCTTCCATATTTTGAGGCTCTTGATAGATGGAAAAATGGAGAAATGCCAAAAAAGGGATTATACAACAGGCCCTTGAAATATTTCCATTGAACAAAGGAATGCTTTTAACGCATACATAAACAGTTGTATGTGCGATCTCTCTGGGAGACAATGTCAAAAGTCTAAATGTGACAATGTTGGGGCAAAACCTGGACCAAAGGGCCCCCCAGCCCTACCCCCATTAGAGGCCCCAAATTGAGTCTGATCTTGTGGTCAAGAGTCTCAGTCCTAGTGAGGGACCGGGGAAGGCGGGGGGGGGAATCTCTCAGATGACCACCAGGAATATAGCCCACAGCTTAGAGGCCCAAAGAGACACTGACCATGACCTGAGAAGTGAACCTGCTGGTCAGAGAGAGCTGGTTTCAAGACCCACCTTCCAACACAAATGAACAGCAGGAGGCTGCAGAGGGAGAAGATGATGAAGCACAGGGCCATGGTCTTCTTGCGGCCTAGGCGATCAATAATCCATAGAGTCACAAGGACACCTGGGGGAGAGCAGGGGCACCATGGCAGGAGGCTTCCAATATGGCTCCCAATGCCCCCCGCCTCCTGGTATTCACACCCCATATAATTCCCTGCCCCTGAGAGTGCGCTTTACCTAGTGAGTCGCTTCTCATGACTAGAATACAGAAAAGCATTGGGATGTCACTTCTGAGATGAAGTTATAAAAGAATGTGGCTTCTGCTTTGCTGGTATTTTCTCTCCCCCTGACTCTTCTTAGGTGCTGGCCTAAAAGTGGCCTCTGGCCAATAACCAGTGAGGAACTGAGGCCCTCAGTCCAACAACCCTGGAGGCATTGAATCTTGCCAACGACCATGTGAGTGAGCATGGAAACAGGCCCCGTCCCAGCTGAACTTTCAGATGTGATTGCAGATGCTGGGCTAACACCGCCATCGCGGTCTTGTCAGATAAGCTGAAGCAGAGGACCCAGGTAGGCCACTCCCAGCTTCCTGACCCACAGAAACTGTGAGTAATAAATATGTTGTTTGAAGCCACTAAAATATGGGATAATCTGTTACACAGCAATGGATAACTAAATAGCCACCAAAGGATGTGGTATTCATTGAATCCAGGCAATGGACACTAGGGATGGGAGTCAGAACCACCCGGGTTCTAAGGCCTCCTTCTGCCTCTAACTTGCCATATGGTCTTGGGTTTGTCCCTTGCCTTTTCTGAGCCTCAGTTACTTCATCTGTAAAATGGGACTCAATAAAAATAAGACTCCCCACTTCAGTAGAGACAGTATAGCATGGTGCTTATTATTAATAATATTAATAATAATTATTAAATCTAGGCTCAGCACTTTACATCTATTATCTTGCTTAATCATCAAAACAACTCCCTAAAATAAATGCCATCAACACCTGCATTTCCCACACTTATTCAATCAAAAAATTAAGTGCCTGCTGTGGTCAGGAACTGTTCTAGGAGCCTTGGGATGTGTCAGTGAACAGAAACAACAAATCATAAATGTAATAAATAAGAATTATCTGAGTTTCAGAAAGGTAAAATCATGGAAATCATCGAAAAGTCATGGAAATGGTTATTGGCAATGTGGTATCTAACTCCAAGTCCCTAGTTTTACCCTCTGAGCTCTGTGGGGAAGGGTTTTAGAAGAAAGACAGACAGGGTAGTATAGGAGTGAAGACCCTGGGCTCCGGAGTGGGACCTCAGTTCTTAGCTCTGCCAAGTGTAGGACACTCAGTGTTTTAGCTGAGCTTTCCTAGAAGCAGACCCTGGGACAAGGGTCCAAGTACAAGTGCTTACTTGAGAGGTAACCCAAAGAAACACCAGTGGGAGGCTGGGAAAGTAAGATAGGGAAGGGAAGACAAGAGTGCCTGTCAAGCAAGTTACCATTGTGGGCAGTTGCTATCGAATTCCACTGGGGGGCTCTGGGAGCCAGTGTGGAACACGCATCTTAGAATTCTGCCTGATGGCCAAGGAAGTTAGGGTATTTATATACCACCGACTCTTGCAGTTATCATTAGAAAGCAGCTCCCAGATATTAAGTCCCTGGGACTTCCAGCCACCTTGCTTGCTTTTAGATCCTGAGGCTTTCCATCCCTCTTGAGAGAGCCCTCAGACACAAAGACGCAGATACCGGCAGCTGCAAGTTTAGGAACAGTTTTTGCTACACCTCTCTAAGCCTTAGTTTCTTCAGTTGTAAAATGGGAGATAATTATGCTACTTCTCAAGACTAAATGAGACATACCTAGAAAACACTTAGCGTGGAGCCAGATATCCATATGGTAAGCGCTCAGTAAATACCAGATACTATTGTTGTTGTAATAATTATTAGTTTTTTGAAAGGAAAAGATAGATCACCTTCACTTTATGAGCAGGTTTGGATTTTTTGACACCCACTGATCCTTCCAGTGTGAGTGCTGATGGGGGACAATTCTCCATGGGTCTCTTGTATTTCTTGCATGCAGAGGCACTAGCTGCCCTTTGTTCCAGGCTATCATTTAATTTGGATAGTCAATAGCCTTGGAAGATAGAGATATTGTCCCCTTCCAGAGTCAAGGGCAGGTCTGTTTACTGTCCAGTGTAATAAAGGTGATGTCTCTCTCTCTGGAGCAAAACTGGGCAGGTCTCTGGCAACCCATTACAGAAGATTTGAGTTCCCTAAGCCTGGGATTCCTCAGGTAAGCAAAGTGAAAAGGGGATTGAGGAAGATACTGGGAAGTCAAGGAAAACTGCGGAATACAGGGTCAAGAATATAGGGAGTAGTAGATCAATCAGGTACATGGAAGGGAACACTCAGGTAATTCCTCAAGCAGCAACCATCATCCATTATCAGCATGTGTATGCATTTGGGTGACGGGTTCTTATCAAAGGACCAGAGTTAGAGCACAACAGGTGTACCTACTACCTCATTGCATGTGTAACATCCACCTGGACCCTTTGTCATCATCCTTGTGAGATTTGGGAGCAAGGGGAGCTGACACTAATATGCTATTCATGTTGCTATCGAATTCCACTGGGGGGCTCTGGGAGCCAGTGTGGAACATATTGCTTGCTGTGCCATGGGTAATAAATAGTCTTTGTCTTTGACCCAGGAGTCTCATGTCTTCTGCCAGTGAGCGTGACAATGGGCAGCCTAATCTGTGAGCCTTCAAGTAGAGTAGCCTTCACAGTTCTTGTCAACTTGTAGCTAAGGGTTGAAAAAAGAACCTCCAGCTCCCCTAGAAAGGGGATTTGCTTCCAGGCAGCACCAGGTGGAACCACCAGATGAGCAGCCCCACCTCACACAGGTTCCTCACCTGGGAACTCAGAGAGCGTAGTCCACAGCAGGTCCATGTAATCCTCCTCACTCAGGTACTCACAGGCCAGGCTGCATTTTGCTTCTACTGCCTTCTTCTGGCTGGAGACTGGGAGGTGGGAGACAGGAGAAAGAAGAGCCATGCCTAGAACCTTGACTCACACCCTCCTGCTCCCACACCTCCTTCCCTGGGCATGCTTCGGTTGGGATACCGTGGAAAGGGCCCAGGCCCGGGAGTCAGACAGACTCAGGTTCAAATCCCAACCAGCAGGGCTACAGCTTTATCTTTCTGAGCCTCAGTTTCTTCATAAAACTGGAGCTAATAAAGCCACTGGGCAAGGTGGTTGGGAGAATGAAATCAGGCTGTGCATATGAATGTGCTTAGCCCAGAATTGGCACACACTAGGTATTTTTGTGGCAGACAGACTCCAGGTGGCAGACTCCAGGGTGGCCTCTATGGTCCCCACCTATATTATCTGGCCCCCATTACTTCCTTGATCCCACCTTCTGTCTCTCGCCCTTGCTCTGTTCACTATACTCCAGCTACACTGGTTTTCTTGCTGTTCCTTCAACACTCCTGCCTCAGGACCTTTGCACTGGCTGCTGGCTCTTCCTGAATTGCTCTTGATATATCCCTATGACTAATTTCCTCGCCTCCTTTATGTCTTTCTTTAAATCTCACCTCATGGAGGCCATTCTGACCACCCCATTTAAAACTTCAACCGACCCACTGCCCCTTGCTCTGCCACCCATTCCTGACCTCCCTTATCCTGCTTGGCTATCTTTTTTCCCATACCTTTGTTAAGAAATAGCATGAAAGACTTTGAAATGGGCAAAATGTTTTGTCTAGTGCACGCTTACAAGTTGTATCACCTTTCATTATCTGTGAGCTCTGCACATTATAGAATATTGATATTAATGCAAATGATTCTTATCCACCAAAATGCAAATTGTGTCTGGTGATGCAATTGATTATTGCCTTATGCATATTGACAAGTTGTGCCTCTAATTGTAAAGCCTTTTCAGCATTTCTGATTGCCTATATACGTACACATATTTTTGAATTCTCCTTTGAACCGGATGCAAACCCTTGCTGGCGTTAGTAAACAATTCTCCATGGGTTGCTCACATTTCTGCATGTTTGATAAGCAAAGACACTGACTATCTTTGTTCTAAACTATCTTTTCAAGGACCTTTGTTTAACCAACAACTTTGACAGGAAGTGTCCAACTTTGGAGCAAGGGGCAGGTTTGCTTATGGGCTTCAGTGGCATAATGTCTCCCTGCAGGACAAGGGCAGGCTTTACTGGCTGTCTGTCTTTACCATCCAGGATAAGAGAGCTAGGTGCCCTAAGCTCAGAGATCCCCTTTTGTGACATAACCCACTGCTTTTGCAGCTGTGGCCCCCCTTCTTCATATTACCCTGTGGGAATGGGAGCTCCTTACGTTGTAAGGAAATGCTGATACTTCAGCGACTGCTATTACTGTGAGTAACAAAGTCCTTTGTCTCTGATTCAGGAGTGTTGTGTCTTTTGCAGGCATCTATGGAAGCTGTGGAAGGCTAACTTGCTAGCTTACAAAGAGGTAAGTCCTCAGACTTTTCACAGTTCTTAACTGGTTCATTCATTAATTGATGAGTTAAATAAAATAAAATCTTTGATATATGTTCATTGTATATTTGTAGGGGAGGCATGATTTTGCCTTTTCTTTAAATTTTTTTCTTTGACACACCTATCACCTTCCAACACACTATGTTATTTACTTACTTATGCTATTCTCTCTCTTTTTTTCTCTCCCCACCAAAATATGAGCATACAGGGTAGGGATATTTGTAGTTTGTATTCAGTGATGTATCCCAACACCTAGATCAGTACCTGGCATATAGAAAATATCGAATGAATGACTTGCCCAAGGTCACACAACTACTTGGTGCTAGAACCCAGGCTCCCTGATTTCCAGCTATGGGCTTGTTGCACAGTATCACTTTCCTACCCAGGTATAAGAGAGAGCTTTAAACAGGAGTTGGCAAAATATCACCTGCAAGTCATAGCTGGTCTCCTGCCTGTTTCTGCCTGGCTTGCATGCTAAGAGTGGTTTTTACATTTTAAAATGATTTTTAAAAATCAAAGAGGAATAACACTTCATGACATAGAAATGATATGCCATCCAAATTTGCATTCACGAATAAGGTTTTATCAGAACACAAGCAGTGTTCGTTCATTAACCTATTGTCCACAGCTATTTTCCTCCTCCAACGGCAGAGGTGTATGTCCCACAAAGCCTAAAATATTGACTATCTGGCCCTTTATAGAAAAAGTTTGCCAATCCTTGCTTTGTAGCACTCCCCTGGATCCTCTGCTTTGCTTCAGTGCGTCCACTGTTAGGGACATGCAATTTATACTCTCTCAGTACCAAACCCCAAATATGCGGCTAAGCCACCAACTCATTAAATCCTTATACCAATAAACCAAACTATTAACTAAGATTAGAGAGGCTTAGTATGAAAAAGATAACTGGGCAAATCCCGCAGACAAGCAAGAACTTGATCCCTTTATCCTCCACCCAGGGTTCAATGCCAGGAACCTATTCTTAAAGATAGAATGGTTTGAAAGCCCAGACATCTGCATATACACTTTGCTTTCTATTTTGTTCCTTCTGTCCAGCGGCTCCCACCTCTAGCTGCACAATTGAATCTGCCTTCGGCTCAGGTCGTGATCCTGGATTCCTGGGATCAAGCCCCACATGGGGCTCCCTGCTCAGTGGGGAGTCTGCTTCTCCCTCTCCCTCTGCCCCTCTCCCCTGCTCATGCTCTCTCTCGCATGTGGGCATGCTCTCTCAAATTAATAAATAAGTAAATAAAATCTTTTAAAAATAAAAAAAATAAAAGCTCCTCCGGGTGATTCTGTTGTGTGGCCAGGGTTGAGATCCAGCCTGGTTCTCAGACCTCATATGCACATGAGAATTGCTGCATAGGGTCATGGCCATCAAACTGAGTGCTGTACTTCACCGAGCCCTTTAAGTGACATAAGATATGACTCTGTTGTAATGTCACTTTTATCATGACAAGATTATTTGGCTTTCTACAGAGTATCTTGGAGACCACAGTCCAGGTCTTCTATGCTCATTTGGCAGAGGCTTTCTCCCAGGAGTCTGCGGGGTAATGTCACCGGTATTTGTGCATGGTCAGGCTCAGGAGAGGTGGAACCTGGGGTGGGCATGCGTGTGTGACTATGTAGGGTGGGAGTAGGGTAGTTTGATACTCACTGCTGCAGACATCTCCTGCCTGAAAGAGCTCAGTGGTGAGCAGAACTAATCCATAGTAAGAAAACGCATTGGAAAACCTGCCAGAAAGGAAGAAAGAAGAGGTAAAGAAATGATGGGAGAAATGCAAGTCCCCTTTCCCCATCCCCTCAGGAAGGACTTGCATCTATAACAGCGAGGACCAGTCTTTGGGCATGGGTGACACTGGACCTTTGGGGGCTTTCCTGGGGCCCTTGAGCAGGAAAATGGCAGGTACAAAGCATAGTGATGTGATAAAGGGACGTGATCTTTTGTCCTTTGAAAGACCAAGAACTGTATTATATCACAGAGAACACCCGAGGTTGTTTATTCAATTGGCAATAGGGAAAACAAGTTTGGGGGACCAGAATTTGGAAGAACACAGTCATGGGTGACATTGATCAGGGCTTCTGGGCCAAGTCGGTCGACGTGAAGAGAGAAGAGGAGGGGAAAGCTTTGATAATGAAGAGCACTGGACTCCAGCTCTGCCCTTGAACTCCTGCGAGCTGAATCAACTCACCAAGCATTTATTAAACACCCACTGTGTGCCCCGTACAAGTGGGGATTCTGCAGACTTCCCTAAAATTTGACATCAGAATGAAATAGTTAATTAATTCACAATTGTCCCAGGAACTAGAACACTCAAGTCTGTAGGACCAGAACATTATCATCCTGTAGTACAGTTACGTGGGAACTGTCATAATCAGACCACAGTGATTAATTTCCTTGGGTTGCAATATGTGCTAGCAAATTTAGCAATTTCTATAGTGCACAAAAATTAGTCTCCAATTAATTGCTTCAGTATTTGGCCCAACTGAATCACCTGCATGCAAAGATAGATACCTTAAACTCCCACCTCCACTCCCTTTTTAAAAATCCTACAGATTCCATGGGCGCCTGGGTGGCTCAGATGGTTAAGCGTCTGCCTTCGGCTCAGGTCATGATCCCAGGGTCCTGGGATCGAGTCCCGCACTGGGCTCCCTGCTAAGCGGGGAGCCTGCTTCTCCCTCTGCCTCTGCCTCTCTGACTCTCATGAATAAATAAATAAAACATTTAAAAAAAAAATCCTACAGATTCCACACTTGTGTTGGGCACCCAGCAGGTGTTTAATAAATGCCTGGCTCAGCTCTTAGGAATGCAGAGACAGAGCTAGAGCCCAGTTCTGTATATTATCAAAGCTTTCCCCTCCACTTCCCTGCAACTGACCACTTTTCAGGACAATCCCCTGCTAATTAGCACCTCTACTCAAAGGTGCATGGGAAAAGTGAGAACTGGTTAAACCAGAATGCAAAGTGTTAGCCAGGCCCCTTCTGCACACTGTTCATGCTGTATACGTGATTTGGTAGAAAGAGAGTTCAAAGAATAGCTGAGATCTAACTAGTTGTGGATTTTCAGGTAATTACTCTGTACAAATCCCTGCCTTCCATCCTGCCCACATCCAGACATCGCCAATGGCTGTTATTTAAGGAAAATAGACCAGGATCAGGACTGAAAGTTCTAAGGATGCCTGTATTGACCAAATTAGTTGTTCCCCAAATGCGGTAGGCCCCACGCCACTGGCGGTATCCAAGGCAATATTGGCCAAGAAGGGGACTTGATGGAGCATGCATATTGAATCTCATTGTGACAAAAATCCATTTTACGTTTCCTTTCAATTACAGTTGACCCTTGGACAGCACGGGTTTGAACTGCACAGGGCCACTTGTAAAGAGCTTTTTTTCAATAAATACAATACACTACTGCAAGTGCATTTTCTCTTCCAGAAGATTTTAATAACATTTTCTTTTTCTCTAGCCTACTTTAAGATATATCATATAATACATAGAACATACAAAATATGTGTTCATTGACTGTTTATGTTACCAGTAAGGCTTCTGGTCAATAGGAGGCTATTGGTTAAGTTTTGGGGGAGTCAAAAGATTTCCAGCTGCTCAGGGGTCTGTGCCTTTAACCCCCTTTCTGCATTGTTCAAAGTCAATTGTATTTTGGTGATTTCCTAGTTTCACTTACTTGCTAATGAATGAGTCCTTAACACCTACCCTCTGTCTGTGTCTCTCTATTAAATACAGCAGCTCAGTGACTTGGCAAATCATCAATCTAGCTACTTTTTACTGTGTATCTCTTGAAAATATATGGCCTGCAATTAAGGTTTTTTTTCTTCAAAGCAGACATATAAAATTCCCTCTTAAAAGACATTTATCTGAATGCTTGTGCACTAATGGTGGGAAGGCAAGCTGCTGCAGCCACTCTGGAAAAGAGTATGGAGGTTCCTCAAAAAATCAAAAATAGAACCACCCTATGATCCAGTAATTGCATTACTGGGTATTTACCCCAAGGATACAAAAACACTAATTCAAAAAGATATTTGCACCCCTATGTTTATTGCAGCATTATTTACAATAGCCAAATTATGGAAGCAGCCCATGTCCATCGATAGATGAATGGAAAAGAAGATGCGATACACACACACACACATATTTATATACACACACATATACAGACAACGGAATATTATTCTGCCATAAAAAGAATGAAATCTTGCCATTTGTAATAACATGGATGGAGCTAGAGAAGATAATGCTAAGTGAAATAAGTCAGAGAAAGACAAATACCATATGATTTCACTCATATGTGGAATTTAAGAAACAAAACAAACAAAGGAAAAGAAAAAGAGACAAACCAAAAAACAGACTCTTACCTAGAGAGAACAAACTGATGGTTACCAGAGGGGAGGTGGGTGGGGGGATGGATGAAATAGGTGATGGGGATTAAGAGCACACTTATCATGATGAGCACTAAGTAATGTATAAACTCTCTGAATCACTATATTGTATACCTGAAACTAATATAACATTGATGTTAACGATATTGGAAATAAAATTAAAAACTTACTTTGAAAAAAAAAAACTTACTTTGAAAAAGGACATTTATCTAAGTCAGAAGTGAGTTCAATTAAAGAAAAAGACTAAGAAAATAATATTACAGGTGATATCTGGAAAAGGCAGAGATCAGGAAAGTGATGCTCAAACCACTGAACTTTGTAACTGTTGCCTACGATCAAAGAGTTCTCTGTGCATCGCATAAAAACAGAACCCCAAACAGGGTACAGGTGAAGGGGATCAAAGTGTCAAGAAACAGCTCTTACCATATAAACCACAGCAACAAGGTTGTCCATCTAAAATGGGGCGTGAAAAGGTCCCTCATTCTGCCTCGGTCTTCCTGTTTCAAGACAAGGACATGCTCTTTGCTCTCCACTCCTCCAGCAGTGCTGGCATTGGGTGGACACCCACGGCTGGGAGGGAGGTTGCTGGTGGGCTACACGCTCAGGATCCAAGAACCCAGGACTCAATCCCACAGCGCAAAGTCCCCCAGCCCAGTGAGGCCCTCCAGCCAGGACCCAGCAATGTCTACAGTCTTGATTCCCCAAGGATGGAGACGTTCTGCATCCCCCAACCCCAGCCTGAAATCCTGGAGCCAGGAAGCAGACTCCATGCCCTGAGGACTCTCAGGTAGTCCCATAGACCCGGGGCGCAGTCAGTCAGTCCAAGGCCTGTCTAACCATTTCATGCCCAGACTAAGCCAGCTCTAGGTCAAGATCACAAAAATTAATGTGCTGAAAATCAATTCGCCAGAAGCCAATGTGCTGAAGACTGATTAGTTAAACGACCCACTTGCCAATTTCATATAATTTGCTAATTTATCAAATCTTTGCTCTACAATGTTCTTTTTTTTTTTTAAAAGATTTTATTTATTTATTTATTTGAGAGAGAGAGAGCGTGAGCAGGGGCAAGGGTGGTGAGAGAGGGGGAGAGGGAGAAGCAGGCTCCCCACTGAGCTGAGCTGAAAACAGACACTTAACAGACTGAACCACTCTACAATGTTCTTTTTAAGAGTATATTCTATGAGGGGTGCCTGGGTGGCTCAGTCGTTAAGCGGCTGCCTTTGGCTCAGGGCATGATCCCAGGGTCCTGGGATTGGGCCCCGTGTTGGGCTCCCTGCTCGGCTGGAAGCCTGCTTCTCCCTCTCCCACTCCCCCTGCTTATGTTCCTGCTCTCACTATCTCTCTCTCCGTCAAATAAATAAATAAAATCTTTTAAAAATAATAATGAAACAAATAAATAAATAAAATCTTTTTAAAAAAGAGTATATTCTATGACGGTGATTATATTCTTCTTAGATATATTTAACAAATATATTTTCCTTAGTTTGAGAAATGCTTGCTTATTTAAACATGCTAAATGCTTAAAAAAGGATTATGGGCCATAGGTGGTTTAGTCTACCTGTGAATATTGTTTTTGTGAATAAAAATATATTTTTTAATATATTCTTGAATGAAAAAACAATACTCATTAAATATGTTTATTGAATATATTTGAGAATGTTTGCATTTGTTGAATATATTTTGAAATAGGCTCATTAATATATTTAGAAATAGATTCATCAATATATTTATAGAGAGAATATATTGAGGAAATAAATATATTAATATATACATAGGAAAAATATACTCCTATTTACTACATATATTCAAAAAGAATGCTCCTTGAAACATGTTTCTGGTAAAAAGATACATTACCAAGTTAATTCAGGAAAACTGGCTTTTGGAGAATTGGTCTGCTTCTGCTCTTTTTGGTGCCTCAGGATTTACCAAACCCACCCTCGTACACGCTCCCACGCAGGTGCACGAACACACACACCACAGACAGTGGGCCAGGCACGGACCTGTCTGGAGATGATGAGTTTCCCCAGCGGCATGGGGGCTCCGTTTTCGGTTGCTATCCTCTTTAATGTGGCAATGGCCTTTTCCTGATTCCCGGACAGCACATCGTACCTTGCGCTCTCCGGCAGCCACTGTGGGTAGAGGTGTGGCAGGTTAGGGTGGAACAGAACACTGGGTCGCAGCCACATACTCTCATCTGGGTGTGGAGTCTTTAAGGGTGGGGCCTCTGGCTCCAGAGGCCTGGCTTCAAATCCTGGCTCTGTCATTGATTATATTGGTTGTGTGACCTTGAGCCATTACTTGACCTCTCTGTGCCTCCATTTCCTCATCCATAAAATGGGGATAACGATAGATCCCATCTTTTTGGGTTGTCGAGGGGATTAAGTGAGATAATCCAGACAAAGCGCTTAGCGCAGTGCCTGGAATGGGTTCATGTAGTTATGATTGCTGCCATTGTTATTATTATTACTAATTAGTGTTGCTGTCAGAGTCCCCCCCAAAAATCTGAAAAATAATCCTTACAGGACGGTGTCCTCCTCTACCCCCTCCCCACCGAAATACAGTGAACAGCAGGAGGCCAAGAGACAAAGGTTGAGATGTCTTAAAGGATACCTACAAAACATAGGACCGCAAAGAGGAGCAAAGGGACAGCCGAGAGGATGAGTAGCCAGCGCCAGCCCAGGCTGGGCATCACAAACACAGCCAGGATGACCTCGAACACTGTCCCGATGGCCCAGAAGACCTGGCATGGGAAAATGGGATCAGTGATGGGAGCCGCATGGTCAACACATGAGCAATGTCAGTGTCATTGTAGATGACACTATCGATATGGGTAAGGGGTCCTTGGGGTCTGCAAAGTCAGAATGACCAGCACTCTTCCTGGGGTCCATATATTTGGGCCAGGGCCACCATGTTGTCCATCTCCTGAGGGTGCCATCCACAGGGTATAATATTGGCATGGTACCCACTGGAGTGTACAATGTGGTAGCTCTGGTTAAGGAGATCAATACCACCTTGTGTGAGGTCAATATGGTGATGGACACATTGGTTTTTGTTTACTGACATCCATCTCTCTTGCCCAATGGGGCCCTAGTATCCTTAGTCCCAATTGCCTCTTCTCTGCAGGGCTGAATATCTTCTGTGTGCCTCTCCGAGTCACTCCCCATCCTTCCCCACCTTGCTCTTTGAATGCACTGCATCCATAGACTTCCTGTCTTCTGGCTTCCCACTGGGTGCAGCCAATGGGGAGCCCCACAGGAAATGGGAGAGAGGGAGGGAGGTAAGAGAGGTTGGGGCATTTACTCCACTGGCTCCCTCTCAGCAGGGTGCTCATGGGCTCGCTGCATCTCTCAGCAGAAGGTCCCAGGCCCTGTCCAATAGCTCTCGACATACAACTCTCCCTCTCTGGACTGCTAATTACTTCCTGCCTTTGCCTGGCAACTGGAACTTCCGGCCTGGGGCTATTTAGAAATAGTCCCTTTATCAAACTTTCTTCAAATTATCCTAACTTGATAGGATATGCTGATTCCTGTTGGGACCCTACAACTATTGCCCATTGACAAACCTGGTCCTTCAACTTCCCCATCAGTTCTGGGAGCCCGTAAGAGCCTTCCGAAATCCCCTTTTGCTTAAATTAACCACATTTCTGTTGCTGACAACCAGGGGTGATAGTCAAAATGTCTAACAAACTGATACAGGACTGACCAACCAGAATGGGTACCAGACACGCCCTGCTCCCAACACACACACACACACACACACACACCATGATTGTGCCAGGAGTTAACTCTTTAGTTGCTAGATCGTGGGACGTTCTAGGGGGTCCTAGGAGAGGACAGGGTGTTAGGTGATGAGGCCTAATCAGTGACCAGGATCTGCTGGCACAGATACATCTCAATATTTAAAGAGTTGGTTCATCCATACCAGTGTGGACTAGTTGACTACCATCCTCACTAGTCAGGGGTAGATGCAGTCAGGGTGGTAGATTGGGCCGTGGGGTTAATGTCATTAATATTGCCAGTGTGGTCATGGTGGCTAGAGAATGGCATCATAGACATCACTGTGGACATCAATGTCCGGAAAGAACAAATAAACCCTACTGCCCACTGCATGGCACCATTGGGCAGTTACATATTTGCCCTGAGAGCTTCCAGATCATGATAGGAAAATGGGTCACAAGACCCTGGCAGGAAGAAGGCTTGAGAGGGATTAGCTGGACAAAGGGCCTTTTAAGGCAGCCTCTAGGTTACAGAGCTGGCCGGCCGCTCACACAAGACGCAGGTGAGTCCAGATACAAATAGGGGTAGAGGGTGATGATATGGACAAGGGGCAGGAGTTTTGGTTCCCTTAGCTGCACTGTTTGGCAGCAACTCTCAGATAAAAGCCATTTCCAGTCCAAGAATGACATACCACCAGCCGGCCACCATTTTTTTTAAGAGATTGAATTTTTTTGTCAATTGAAGAATTTATCTGTATAGCAAAAAAAAAAAAAAACAAAACCCAAAAAACAAAAAACAAATGTTCAAATTGACATAACTGACAAACTGCCATTTCCTTATCCTGTGGCTCAGGACACCCGAGAATCTCCTGCTCAGAGACTGAACACTATTGGGAAACCCAGACCACCCTCCTTACCTCAATCAGCAAAATACACTTAGCTCTGGCCTTCATGGGAAGGAACTCAGCGTACAGTGTCACCCTGGGAAAGCAGAAAGATATGAAAGGAGTTAGGTCAGGACTGAGTAAGAAGATTGCCACAGCTTTCCGAATTTCTTTCTTTCTTTTTTTTTTTTAAGATTTCATTTATTTATTTATTTGAGAGCAATAACATGTGAATGAGCAGGGGGAGAGGGACAAGCAGACTCCGTACTGAGCATGGAGCCCAGACATGGGGCTCGATCTCACAACCTTGAGATCATGACCTGAGCCGAAATCAAGAGTCCGATGCTTAACCGACTGAACTACCAGGCGCCCCATTTTCTGAATTTCTAGGTCAACATTCCTCTGAGGGTGGTCTGTGGACCACTTAACTTCAGAATTTCCTGAGACAATGGCTAAGTACTTAGATCTCCAGGCCCTACCCCAGACCTCTATCTATCTTTCTATCTATCTATCTATCTATCTATCTATCTATCTATCTATCTGTCTGTCTGTCTTGGTCTTTCCAGCTCTCTCTCTCTCTCTCTACATGCACACCATACATCTATGTCTGTTTCTATATCCATGTGTGTATATGTATTTAAAAAAACAATGAGTTCACACTGATACTTTCAATTCCAGTCCAACCAGAAGGTTAGGGTTCTTTCTTTCTTTCTTTCTTTCTTTTTTTTTTTTAAGTAATCTCTATACCCAACACAGGGCTTGAACCCACAACCCCAAGATCAAATGTTGCATCCTCTGCTGACTGAGCCAGCCAGGCGCCTCAAGATTAGGGTTCTTTCTAGCCCTCCCAGTTTCCACGTTCATAATTCCCTTCTCCAACATTGAGACACCCAGGCCTCTTTATCCTCAATATTTGCTTAATCCATTTATTTGCTTGCTGAATGTAACCAATGCCCTAAATATACTGGCTCCCTCCTCCATCTACTGCATTCTTGCCCCCTTCCCCTACCTTTCACTTCCACAGCCATTGGCCATGCTGGAAAGAGAAGGAAACTTCTCCTCTAACTTCTTCCCCATGCTGCCTCCCATTTTGCTAGGAAGAGGTCTTTTTTCCCACATCTTCCACCTAAGTCAAGCATCTGAGCAACCAGATGGCTTCATGTTACTCTCCTGGCTCCTCATAAGGGAGACGGGGTAGAGGGAGGCTAATTTCCATTGACCCCTTTGAGGCAGATACTGCTGGTAACCCATCTAGGTCTCCTGGGATCCCTTTACTAGTTCAGTGTGCCCAACTCCCAGCTGCTGCTAATGGCTCATACCTGCAAACTTCTCCTAGAATTGCTCCTGAACAATTGGAGCTGCCTCACCCGAATGATGTCTTTCCCTGCATAACATCTAACATTTGAAAAGTTGGTCTTAAAAAAAGAAGAGAAAGAAAAGTTGGTCTTAGCAATACCATTGAGATTTAAGAACAGTTCTTTCTCCAGTAGAAGTCCTTCTTAGGGTTATGATAAAAGATACCTCTGTCCAAAGAAGGAAGAATTCTTAGGCGCCTCAGAGAAAAGGCTAGGGCTTTAGTCATTCAGATATATTCTATTTAGAGAAAAGCATGAAGAGAAAGTCAATTATCACCTAGTTTAATTCACGGTATAAGTATTTTAGTATATTCTCTCTTCCTGTCTTGATCTTTTGTCTTTATCTCTCTCCCTTTCTCTTTCTTAATCTCTCTCTGTAGCTAAGATCATACTCAAGAATTTTGAACCCTAGTTTTTATTTGATTATAAATAGCATTTCCATGCCATTGAAAATCCTCTTACACACATATGTTCTATCACATGCATGAACCACTCTTTTCTTAATAGCTACCTTTTATTGAGGACCTACTATGTGCCAAACACTCTTCTAGATGTTTTACATGGATTATCTCACTCAAACATTTCAAATCAATGGAGTAGATACTTATAATCCTGTGTATGTGCGTGTATCTTTGATTCTCATTTTTATCTCTAGATCTATCTATGTCAGATAAATTGTTAATTGACCAGGATCACACAGCTAGTAAGTTAGTAAGTAGAAAAGCCAAAATTCGGGCGCCTGG